GGCCTTACTGGGTCCCGTGCGCTGGCGACCTCCCATGCTCTAGTATTCCTCGCTGCCGGCGGCGCCCGCAGACGCGTCGGCTTCGTGGTCGTGGCGGCGGGGCGCGGCCATGGCGCTGTTAGTGACCTCGTCCTCATTCTTGTCATAGACTTCATTCACCCCCTCGTCGATCTCCTTAAAGGCGGCTTCTAACTCCGTCTGACGGACGCGATATCGCCAGCGGTCGTGGCGGATTTCATGGGCGATGCAGAAGGATTGCAGCAACGCCTCCTACTCGCCCATGTCCACGTCCGACGTGATGGCTGGGTCGGCTTCGAGTTGCTCCTCTGCGCGTCGGTGCTCGTCAAGGAGGCAGAGGTTGTACTCGTGGTCAGCTTGCGCCTGCTGAAATGCGCCCTGCCGCTTTTCTAATACCATCTCGGTGTAGTGAGCACGGGCCTCGCCCATGGTAATGTCGACATTGTCCGACGAGGATGGGGGAGCCGACTCATCGTCGGTCGCCTCGCATTGTGGCCTCTGCCAGCCTGCCTGCCTGCCAGCTGGCTGCAATGGCGGCGATCTCCTGCTTCTGCTTGGATGAGAGGTTGTTGTCCTAGATGGCTTTGAAGGTTGAGGAGGCCATGAAGGGCGTGGTGTCGATAGGAGAAAGAGAGTGGAGGATGTTGGGTACGACTACGGCCAAGCGCAAAGTTTAAATAGTAGGTGGATGTGTGACGCCTAAATAATTAGGCTACAGTAATCACATACTAATGATGCCATGTCACCGCTGTCACCATTGTTAATCTCGTGTTAGTCCAAAACCGATTTGAAATTCAAATTTAAAATGAAGTCAAACGGTAAAAGTTTTCAACATTAAAACTAAAATGTTCAAAATGGGACAAATAAATCATATGTAATAATGGTGGAGAAATCACATTTTTATAAAATGTTTAAATACTCTAAAGTGAATAAAATAGTAGCAAAAACAATTAATTAAATACCTTTTTCAATTGATACAATATTAAACTATCCTATTCAGTTGCCCAAATTTATGTGGCAGTAGTACATTTATCTAGAATAAATTAGGAACTAATTATGTATTTCATTTAAAAAAATAAAGTGAAAATAGAATAAAAACAGAAAAGAATACAAATAGAAAAAGAAGAAAACTCCCCGTGGCCAACTGGGACAAATTCCCACCTGGCCAGCCCACTAGTCCAGACCGCTATGGCCCTGGTCTATGGCACAGGGGCCCCACGCCACATAACGGTTTAAAAAAATGTTAAATAAATAAATTAGTAATTAATTAATTAATGAGTTAAGTTAATTAATTCTATTTAATTAATCTAATTAAAATGAATTAACCTAACCCCTTAGTTAATCTAATTAATTCTATTTTAGTTAGTCTGTGTCAATGACAACGGGCCCGCCCGTTAGTTGACTGGTCAACAGTCAATTTTGACTGCTGACGTCATTGCTGATGCAATATATATTTTCGAATAATAATAATTCAAAAAATAATTAAATCTTTATAAATTAATATAAAATAAACCGTAGCTCGGGTGAAAATACTTTGTACATGTAAGTTGCTCAGAACGACGAGACGAGTCCGAATACGCAGTCCATTTGTTCACCACACGCCCCTAGCATAGCGAACCTGCAACCATCCCTCTCCAGTCCGTTTGTCCGAAAATGCGAAACACTGGAAATACTTTCCCTGATGTTTCCCCTCTTTGCCGGTGTCACCTAATACCGTGTTAGGGCACACCTAGCACCACTATTTGTCATGTCATGCATCGTCAAGCTTCTATTTGCATTGTATTTATTGTTTCAGCCCCCTCTTCTCTTCGATAGACTATGAGACTGACGTCGTTGCTGCCCCGATTGACTACGGTGTTGACGACCCGTCCTTCTCTGCCGAGCTTCCAGGTAAGCCAACCCCCCTTGTTCATCCCGATATCAACTACTCTTTCCCTCTACTGCTTGCATTAGAGTAGTGTTACTATTTCATCGGTTGATCCTATACTGCTCATAGCATGTCCTTGTTACTACTGTTGATACCTTTACCTCCAGTCCTAAATGCTTAGTATAGGCTGCTAGTATATTACATCAGTGGCCCTACACTCTTGTCTGTCTGCCATGCTATATTACTGGGTCGTGATCACTCGGGGGGTGATCACGGGTATATACTATACTATTACATTACTTATGTTACTGTTCGGAGATGGAGGCTGAAGGGGTAGGTGGTTCCACCTAGGTAGTGGTGGGCCTGGGTTCCCAACAACCCCCTGATTGTTACTTTGTGACGAAGCGACATGACAGGTTGTGACCACCTAGGAGACAGGTGGGCCTGGTCCCTGGTCGGCGTCCGCGGTTACTTCAAAATAACATGCTTAACGAGATCTAGATATTTGATCTGAGTCTGGCCACTGACCTATACGCACTAACCAACTACGCGGGAACAGTTATGGGCACTCGACATCGTGGTATCAGCCGAAGCCTTCTTGACATCAGCGACTGAGCGCGCGCACCAGGTTGGACCGTGTAATGCAACTTCCTTTGTAATGGAGGTTGCTAGGTCTACTCACCGGCCGCCCACGCAACATGCGGGTGTGCAATGGGCGATGGGCCCAGATTCCTGCGCGCTTAAGATTTAGACTGGCGTGCTGACCTCTTTGTTGTGCCTAGGTAGGCCTGCGACGTGTTGATCTTCCGAGGCCGGGTATGACCCAGGAAAGTGTGTCCAGCCAGAGGGATCGAGCGTGTTGGGTTATGTGGTGCACCCCTGCAGGGAAGCTTATCTATTCGAATAGCTGTGCCCCTCGGTAAAAGGATGACCCAGAGTTGTATTCTGACCTTATGACATCTAGAACTAGATACTTAATAAAACACACCTCTTACAACTTCCAGAGACAACCCGGTGATCGCTTTCCCAGAGGGCGACATGGGGAGGATGGCCGGGTAGGATTATGCTATGCGGTGTTCCTTGATGTTGCACTTGCTACTCTCTTCTACATGCTTCAAGATGGAGGCTGTCAGACGTGTAGTCTTCGATAGGACTAGCTATCCCCCTCTTATTTTGGCATTCTGCAGTTAAGTCCATAGATACTACCCATTTCATTGATACCAATGCATATATAGTGTAGATCCTTGCGTGTGAGTACTTTGGATGAGTACTCCCGGTTGCTTTGCTCC